CCATGATTTTTTACGTTTAAGATTATCATGACGGATCTACTTCCCATCACCAGTGACAATCCGGTACAAAAAACTCTTTTTTTCTTCCTAGCAATCAGAGCAGTGACAATGGATATACAGTTCAGCATGTTCGATTTGGTCAGTTCATATGGCACCCATTTTCCTTCCTTTTGAATTTTTCCTATTGCATGTAAACGGTGAGAAACTGTTGAAACTGCAACATTTAGTGCTTTAACCAATTCCTTGAGTGTTTGAGATTGATTTTGGTCCAATAATACTTGCAATTCGGCGTCTTCAAACTTTTTTGGCTGATGTGGACGTTCCTTGTCTTTCACATAAAAATCACCAGTTTTGAATCATCAAAACCAATCTCTATGTTGTTTCTGATGGAGCAGAATCATCATAAGTTTCCTCTATTTCGATGTGCTTCAGCTGCAGTTTTCTTTATATCAAAGTAGTGGAGGAAAACATATCGAAAAAAACTTATTGCGTTCCATTTTGAATTGATTTAAAAACAATATTATTGCTTGCAAAAGTAAACCTTGGTGACTGAATTCTGTTGAAAAACATTTAATCTTTAATATAGCATGAGTTCCAGCTGTCACAATAAAAATTCAGCTGTTCACTACATTTGCAGCTAGAGTCATTTAAATGTGAACAGCAGAAATTAACCAAAACACCTAATTTAACGCGTTGTATGTTCAGCAAAATATTCCGCGCGTACATTAACACTGTCAAATTGTACAACATAGAAGCTTTGTTTACCCAATTTATAATATAATATATTTTTATATATGCGATATGATACGATCAAGCGTAAATTTTAATATACAGGATGTCCCAGAACAATAGTACTGGAGCTCGTGGAGACATAGAACAGATTAAGGCAGATCAAAAATCTCATACTGTTTTACTATATACGCAATAATTTTCGAGTTATTAATTATAGAAATCCGAGGAGTGAGCGTACGCCGAGATGAATGTTTGGAGAAGCATTATAGCCATTCGGGTAAAAGCGCGGCAGTCGATTTAGGAACTAGTTGCCGGTGTGCGATGAAAGGAAGGACAATGTATCGCTATTTGTCTATACGCTAGTCTTATTTCCCCCCAATATTGAATAGAGCCAATATTGAATAGAATAGAATAGAATAGAGCCAATATTGAATAGAATAGAATAGAATAGAGCCAATATTGAATAGAATAGAATAGAATAGAGCCAATATTGAATAGAATAGAATAGAATAGAGCCAATATTGAATAGAATAGAATAGAATAGCTAGTCTTATTTTGCTGCTTCTAGGTCTCGCCAGTAGCAGTTGCTGAATCAACAGAATTGTTTGAGAATTGCGCTGTAACCTAAATGGTTGTAATGCTCCTCCAATCATTCATCTCGGCGCACACTCATTTATCAGATTTCTATAATTAACTTGATAATTATTGCCAATATCGCAAAACGGTATAGGGTTTTTTTGTTCGCCTTAATCCGTTCTACGTCACGAGCTGTAGCACAATTGTTTTCTGGGACATGTTGTATAAAAATAATTTGTATTCTTTGTTACTTTGGGCTGGATTATTGGGCTGGATGTACATATTTTAAGCTTATCAAAATGGGCGGAAGACACTTCTATATGTTTCTTTATAAGAAAACAAAATTTATCTTCATATGATTTTGGCGAAGGTAGTTAAAATCCAAGATTGTCATCTATTTCTCCTCAAAATTTTATAAATTTTGTTTGGAATAGTTTTGTCTATCAAGTTCAGTTTTGAAAATATTCGTCTGATCTGTTTAAAATGGGATACACACACACATACACACACAAGGTAATTATTTGAAAAGTTTCCATCTCAATATTATCTAAAGTTTGCATTGTATGAAGAAATGTTTTATGTAAAAATTTAGGGTTTGTAGAGGATATATGATGGTAATATATATAACAATATAGCGGTTTTCATGGTTATTCCAAAAATAACTTTTTATATGTAAATATATACAGGGTGTCTCAGACTATCTGAATAATCTCTCATGAAGACGTAGAGTGGGTCAAAACGAACACAAAAGTTTCATATCGTTTTGCAAAATCCGCAATAATTTTCAAGAAATTAATGTTAAAAGATCAAAGGGAAGCCGAGCAAAGAAAGAACATTCGAGCTAATCGAGCCGTAGCGTCGTAGCCGTGTTCAGTTTAGCTATAAAATTGGCAAAGTCATGTCGCTTTTTACAGATAAATGGCTTTACTTGTCATTAAACGCAACTAACTTCACTCCAAATCCTATAATCTTTATATCATTTGACAGCTGACATTCAAGTTTTCTGTAAAAAAAGAAAAAGTGCATCATTCCGTAAAGAATTGTTTGTTTGACATTGAGTTAAAAATGGAAAATTAAAACAAATATTTCCGCCATATTTTACTTTTTTACTTCCAAAAAGGAAAGAACGCTGTGCAAGCCCGTCAAAAGTTATGTGCTGTGTATGATAAGGAATCCTTAACAGAATGCCAATGTCAGCGTTTGCTCGTTTTCGTTCAGGAGATTTTTCTGTGAAAGATGTACCACAGTCTGGCTAATTGAGGTCGATGACGACAAAATAAAAGCATTGCTCGTATCCAACTGCCATTGTACAACACGGGAGATCGCTGAGAAGCTAAATATACATGCGAGCACTGAAAATCATTTAAAACAATTTAGATACGTCAACTCGATATTTGGGTTTTACATGAGCTTACTGAAATTCATCTCATCAAACGCTTCAATATTAGGGATTCTCTCCTGAAACGTGAGCAGAAAGATCTATTTTTTAAACAAATGTGTGATGAAAAATGGATTGTTTACGACAATGTGGGACGAAGAAAATCGTGGAGCAAACGTAATGAATTGCCACAAAGCACTTCTAAAGTTGCAAACATTCACCGAAGGAAGATTTTGCTATCTATTTGGTGGGATTACAAGGTGGATTACAATTATTGTGTTTTCTGAATTACTTAAACGTAATCAAACAATTTATTCAGAATTGTATTGTCATCAATTGGACAAATTACACGAAGTAATCAAGCAGAAGCGCCCAGAACTGATAAATCGTAAAGGTGTTGTCTTTCACCATGGCAATGCTAGACCACATATATCGTTGGTTATCCGCCAGAAATTGTTACAGCTTAGGTGGGATGTGTTATTATACCCACCATATTCGCCTGACCTTGCATCATTAGATTACCATTTATTTCGTTCTTTGCAAAATTTCTTGAAGAGAAAAAAATTCGATTCTGATGAGGCTATAAAACTTGGATCAGTTTTTCACCAATAAGGTTCAGAAGTTCTATAAGGCCAGAATCATAAAGCTACCAAATAGATGGCAACAGGTCGTTGAATTAAACAGATAGTAAAGTTTTGTATGAAAAAATTACTTTTTATTTACATAGAAATAAAACGACATGGCTTTCTTGCCTGTCTGATATATATTTCAGTTATTTTATTTTTTAAACGTAGGGTTCGTTCACTAAAATTTTATAATTTTAAGCATCTTAAAAAAGAATCTAATGGTGATAAATCAGGGCACTTTGGTGGTCACTCAATGCACTCCGTGTCTGCCAATTCACTTACTAGGATATCGGCTGTTCGACATTGACATACATGCACTACATAGTGGTGAGGAGCCCAATCTTATTAGAAATGCATTAAATTTTTGTCTAGATGTAAGCTAATGTATTCACCTACTTGATTTTTTAATCATTGCATAATAAGAAGATTAACATTTTCAAACATAGTCAACTAAATTTTATTATTGAAATCCGTCTCTAAAAATAAAAAGCTTATACATTAGTCGTTAAACCAATATTCGTTCGACCAATATTCTAAGTAGATCGGCAAATGCGAGCCCATTCAATGGCCTCCAACGTTCTTTGATTTGTCGATATCAGATTATTTTATGGGGCGCTTGAAATTAGTCATTTACAAAATTTCGATAAATGTCATCCAGGATTTAAGAAAGAGAATAATTGAAGTATGTAAATCGATTCCTAAGACAAATTTTTCAGAACATAAGAAAAAAATTTGAAAACAATTTATTTTTTATGTAAATAAAAATGAAGAACACATTTTGGAGATGATATAAGAATGAAAAAACAAACTGTAATAGTTCTTCACACATTCTTTGTTTCTCTTTTTCTCTTCTTTCTTCTCTCTTCCTTTTTCCCTTCTTTTCCTTCTTCTTTTCTTCCTTCCTCACATTCGATCTCTCTCTCTCTCTCTCTCTCTCTCTTCTCTCCCTCTCTTCCTCTCCTTCCTCCCTTTCTCGCGTAAAAATATACATACGCGTGCGTGTTTACCATGCACACTTAAGGTCACAAGTCATGCATGTATTTCAATTTTTTCTAATATTTACTCGGTAAAGAAATTAAAAAGTCATTTTCGAAAAAACTATGAACGTAAAATTATCTGCTTTTTCAAACCTGCAATGAAAAATACCTATTTCAATTTGAGAAAACAAAGGACCTTTTTTGGAATAATCTTGATAACCGCGATCTATATATATTTTTTTAAAATAAACATGTATTTTTATTAAAGCCTTACAAATTTTATACTCAATATTTTTTCGTACAAAACATTGTACATTTCGTACAGAACATATTGTAAAACATATTGAAATGTGTCGAATCTTTTTAAATGAATATCCTGCGTGTATGCATGTATACACACACACACACACACACACACACACACACACACACACACACACACACACACACACACACACACACACACACACACACACACACACACACACACACACACACACACTATAAATAGTAAATAAGAGACGGTACTTGACGCTCGGTACTTGAGAACATTTGAAATATATATTTATATTGATATATATATTTATTAATGGTTCGTTTCCACACTCAAATCGATATTCAAATACTAATTTATTTCTGCTCTCTGAAAATATAAATACTCATCAATCTTTACGTCAACATGGAAAATGAAGTTGCATATGCATGACTTAGGTAATTACAGCTGCTTGAAAGTGGATTTGATCTTCACACGGGATCGCGCCTTCTACTTCACTACAGTTTTCATCCCCGGCATTATTCTGGTAACCAGCTCCTTCATTACATTTTGGCTCGAGTGGAATGCCGTGCCGGCACGAGTGATGATCGGTGAGTTCGCGTAACGAGTACCACCTCATATCTCAAAAATTGACGGATTTATCTCGACCTAATGTCATTAAATCACTCAAAGTAAGTTAATCAAAATGATTAACCTCGAGTGGCTCATGCACAGCGGCATGAAAAAAAATAATTGATTACATATATCGAAATACAACATATTCATGCGGTATATTTAATATAAAATAGGGAATTCAGATGAAATTGTATTATTCTCATCTTCACATCTGCTGTCTTTTCGATTGTGCCTTCTTTCTTTCTGTAGTTCTTCGACTAACTGATAGAATATCTACATAAGATGGCCAAACGATGTGCATGTAGAACTTATGAAACTGTATAATGGGATCACTATCATCAATCATGTAAGATTTTAAGTTATCAACAAAAGAAAATTAGTAAATCAGCGCGTCCAATGCAATGGGACGGCACGAATAGATGAAAACTGACTAGCCACTTGAGTCTTTTGTTAATAATAATCAGTATCGGGAGATACACAGGCTTTTATATTATACTATATTGATAACTAGAAGCTTTAATGTATTCTTTGAAAGCATATGGAATACACTGGAAAGCAAAACGGTTTTGACAGTTTTTTCCCTAATGGCATTAGTAATCCGTATAGTTGCGAATTTGAGAATTACTACTTAATACAAAGAGAAGTCTCAAGATTGTGGGATTAAATCACAGACTTCTATAGTATAACTAGATTGCTAACTCCCTCGTATACTATAGCACAACATTGACCTCAAAAAGTATGTGTTAGATAAGGGAATCAAGCATCTGCGCATGCATGAAATTGATAGTCCACAAGGAGAAGGGCTACATAAGCAATATGGCCGATGCAAATAGAGGAAATATGTTTTGATTCAACCAATCAAATGTAAATGTCGGACTACCAGGACGGTACATACTTTTTAGGGTCATGTGTTGAGTCGGAGTTAGCAATCTCGTTATACTATAAAAGTCTGTGGGTTAGAGAGACACATACAGTTGGGGTTAAAGAGACTTACTATCTTTTGTGCAAACCTTGAGCAGTGGTTCTCAAATTTTACAACTAGACTAGTTATTAACGTTTGTAAAAAACAAAAAACTGTCGAAACTGTTTTGTTTTCCAGTGTATATACAAATGTCAGTATGTGTTATATCGAAAATTATCAATCAGACGCATCACATCTGAATATTCATGTTTCATGATTGTTCGGTGAATCGGCAATAGTGCTTGAAAGTTGCTAACCTGTCACTATATATTTCTTAACCTCCCTTTATGTTAAATTTATTCTTACGTGGCAGGTCTCGGACATTCGACAAATTTTTTCTAAATATTATTCCCTCTTTTTATTAAAAGTATATATTAGATATTTGAAGGATCGACTGTCTGTATCTTTCGCGTCATACAGGTTAAGCAGGTTAAACACCAAGCTGTTAAGCTAATATAGTAAGGCGTAGTCTAAATTTAGTAAAAAATAGGGATTTCTATTTAAAAATTTTGACTGGTCCCAACACAGGCCCTAAAATCTAATAAAATCGTTTATTGGCAATAAAATCGTTTTTAACCTTTAAAAGAGGTTAAATGAAAAATCCAATCATTGGTTTGGAGCACTCTCGAAAACTCTCAAAAACCATTTTACTCCATGAATTTTACCCGATATGAAAGATATAATTAGATAATAATAAATTTCCTATTAATTTTTCCGATTTCAAGCCGTCATATTGGAACCGTCATATTGGTTTTCTGAAAAGGCCACGGTTTAAATGGAAGTACACATCCATAGCTTCAAAATTAACCCGGGTACAGTTTTTTTGTTGCTTCAATTTTTGGATAAAGGGAGTGTCAGATTTGACAGAGAATGCCCCATATATATTATAAAATATATTGTAAGAAGTAAAATTCTTTATTCTTTAGGAATCATTTTTTATAATATATTTATATCGTTTGTAGTTTCTGAGATATTCGACTTTAAAGTGTTAGAAGATAAAAATGAAATTTAGGAGACCAATTTCTAATAAACATTTTTTAACGTTTTTCTTATTAATTTATATTTTATTAAATTCTTGTTGAAAATTTTCACTTTACTAAATTCATGAATCTATCATATCCGGAATATTGCAAAAATAGGTAAAGACCTTTGTGTAAGGCTTAATGAACTTAAACCTTACGTAGGGGTTTCTAACTATTTTTAGAATATTTTTATTTTTCAAATATAGTAAATTCATGAATTTAGTAAAGTGAGCATTTTTAACGAGAATTTAATGAGATATAAATTAATAAAAAAATATTTAATTTATAAAAATTGTATTTATCAGAATTTCCTAAAGGAAAATGTATAAAAGTCATCGACTTTCTCAGTTGACAAGTAAAATTTATATGTTTTTTATAGTTCTTAGACTGCAGAATCACGTGATGCAATTCATTTTCCATAAACATGAAGGAAACATACGTAAAAATGTGAAAGAAGTGAGTAAATAAGCACGCATGTGCCATAAGAATGAGATATGTAATGATCTTTTTTACGGAATGTTCTAACCCTCAAAATCCATGAAATGTACGATATTTTGTTGTGATAGAGTTCGGAAATAAAAAGGAATACACCTACGGAAACTCAAAGAATATAAGACGAGAGTCAGATACAAGGTGAGGAAAAAAGATGGAAATCCTTAAAAATCTCGAAAGATATATTTACAGAAAAATGTTTCAAACAAAAGTTATAAGGCTTAAAACGATGTATATATTGATCTTATCAGTTTGACTTTGAATGGTGTTACCAAGGTCAGGTCAAGGTCAACTTATTTTTTTTAAACAAAAACCCCCATTTTTTATTATATCATCTTTTACTACCAATTAATTTGAATAACTTTTGTCTAAAACATTTTTCTATTTGTCTAATATTTTTTTAGATATTTAAGAAAAACTCGGAAACTTTCTCAATATTTAACTTACGATATCTCGCCAACTATTTGTCGGAAAAAAAATGCTATTAGACTTTTTTATTCTACTTGGTTTCAAAAATATATTGTTACAATAGCATCCTGACTTTTATTAATTTGATGATTTTGAAATTTCCAAAAGTCAATAAGTTAGAGAACAAAGTTAGAGAACTATTGTAACAATATGTTCTTGAGACCAAATAGAGTAAAAAAGTTTAGTACTATTTTTTCTTCTAACAAATAGTTAACGAGATATCATAAGTTAAGTATTGAAAAAATCATCAAGTTTTCCTTAAATATCTCAAAATATATTAGGTAAATAAAAAAATGTTTCAGACAAAAGTTGTTCAAATTAATTGATAGAAAAAGATGATATAATAAAAAATGTTTCTGTTTAAAAAAATAAGTTGACCTTGGCAACGCCATTCAAGATCAAACTGATAAGATCAGTAAATACATCGTTTTGAGCCTTATAACTTTCGTCTGAAGCACTTTTCTGTAAAACTTATATCTTTCGAGATTTTTAAGGGTTTTCATTTTTTTTCATCATCCTGTATACTCGCTTCGCCCCTTGACTGTTACCTTCCCCTCTCTTAAACTCTAGACTCCAGACTTTTAACTTTATTTAAACTCTAAACTTCTAAACCGTAGATTCTTAAACTTCAGACCCTTAAGTTTTATCCTGAAAACCTAGACATTTTAATCCCATACGCTTAAATTCTGGACTCATAAATCGCAGATCCTTAATGACAATTTAATTCTCTATTTAATGACATTATAATTAACCCTTGTGTCAATTCCACTCATATCGTCGGCATCAGCGTTACCCGATATGCACTGCGGGAAGGCGCGATCGGATTTTGCACATCATTTGATCCTGAAAAGGGTCAGTTTTAATCCATAGCTCGGGAGTTGCGGTCATGTGTTTGTGGCTAAGTATGCGTGCTCTTAGTTGCGTGTATGCGCGCACGTGTATGTGTTGGTAGGATCGATTGTGTACGCTCGCTTACGCAGTAATGAAAATGAGTTTAAGAGTTTTCATTGGTATTTTCAAAATCTGATGAATAATTATTGTCGAAAATGTTTGAGATATATGCATATCTGTAGGATATGGTAGGGTGAATGAGATGAGGTCAGATTAGATTAGGTTGTATCAAATTATATATCGTTATATAGCTTTTCGTACATTGGTTTTTTTCTCTATTTCAATTCTATCATAATAAAATGTCATTTCATGGTTTTTAAGGGTTCGAACATTCTGTAAAAGAGATCATTATGCAGGGTGTTTCAGAACTTTGGGACACGGGCTCCATAGGGACATAGAGCTAAGTGAAAGGAACAAAAAAGTCCTCTACCATAATGTGAAAATCTGACTATCGCTAACTATCGCTATGGCGTCTTGGCGCTTTGACGCCGCGCGTCAAAGAGACGCGTTATCGCTCAGCCTCTACGCACACAACTTGCCGCAGAGCGTCTATAGGCTGCGATGGGCATGGAAATCGCTAAACTTTACGCGGTTATTACTAAAAACCTATTACGATTTTCACATTATGGTACAGGACTTTTTTGTTCCTCCCACTTAGCTCAATGTTAAACCTAAGCAGTCCGTGTCCCAAAGTTCTAAGATACCCTGTATATCTCCTTCTTATGGCACATTCGTACCTATTTATTCATTCTTTCACATTTTTACATATGTTCCCTTCATGTTTATGGAAAATAAATTGTATCACGTGATTCTGCAATCTAAAAACTATAAAAAAAAACATACAAATTTCATTTGCCGGCTGGGCGCAAAAGTCAACGACTTTTACATATCCTTCTTTCATTCTTACTTTCTCATACTTTAAAATCGAATATCTTGGAAATTACAAATGACCCCCTTATAGATATATTAAAAAAAATTATTCAGAATTTTAGCCTTTAGCATATTTTAAAATAAGAAATATCGATAAGGTATTACCTTTTATGCATATTTACCCGCATATATAACATTTTACACAAGAAAGAAAAAATAAGTAAATAAGAAACACAATGGAAAATGAATATAGTATCGGTCGTGTTTCAGGTGTAACAACTATGCTCAACTTTTTCACCACGTCGACTGGCTTCCGGGGAACGCTGCCCGTCGTTTCGAACTTGACTGCCATGAACGTGTGGGACGGCGTATGCATGTGTTTCATCTACGCGAGTCTGCTCGAGTTCGTCTGCGTGAATTACGTCGGTCGCAAACGGCCGATGCACAACGTTGTCTATCGTCCGGGCGAGAACCCCGTTACCCAGGTACTTTGCTAATTGGCGTGTCCTCGATAATTTGGTCAACGTGACGCATATATTGCACTCCTGTCACGAATGTTTAGCAATGTGAATTTAAATGGGGCCGTACTGCCTTTCTCGCGCAATTAATATTAATTAACGCGGAGTAAAATACGTAATATAACACAAGACGATACAGAGATCATTTTTTCAGAAGTGGCTATAACACCTAGGATCGGTTTAAAGCTAGTCTAACCGCCACCTCGCAACAAGATAATCGCAAGAACAAAATAATTCTGAAATATACAGAGTGTTCAAAAAGTTCCGGTACGGCCGGGTAACTCTTGAAATATTGGTTATCGTAAAAAACTTCTTCGACAAAAGTTGCAGGAAATAAAGAAGGTATTCAATGGTGACTTTGACCTTTGACCTTGAGGTAACCTTCAATGTCAAATAAAGGTCTACCGCGTTTTTTCAAATAGAAGCATGTGTTTTTGATAGCGGAAATTGAAAGAGTGTAGAAAATTACATCCAGATATGTCCTTAGTCATGTTGACCTTTGACCTCCAGAGGTCATTTCAAGGTCAAAAGTCAAGGTCACCTTTGAATACCTTTTTTATTCCCTGCATTTTGTCTAAGAAGTTTCTTACGACAATCAATATTTCCAGATTTATCCGACCGTACCGTAACTTATGAAAATGTAACGTTCAATGACTTTGAAACGACTTCTAGAGGTCAAAGGCCAACATGACTAAGGACATATCTGAACGTAATTTTTTACTCTTTTTTTTCCTGCAAGTTTTTTACGATAATCAATATTTCAAGAGTTACCTGGCCATACCGGAACTTTTTGAACATCCTGTATGAAGTAACGCAGAATTTTCTTCCTTTAATTTTACATAGTTATAATTAATTGTCCGATATGTACGTGCATCTTCCAGGGCGTTTTGAAACATTTTAAGCCGATTCTAGTAACGACTGTATATTTCATATCAGATAAGGTTGGTAGATGTTATTTGTGGAAGAATGATTAGTCGCCCTATTCGCTAACATCGACGACCGAGAATGCTAATCATCATTGTTGAATGTCATAAACAACCTAGAGTTGTCGCATTCGCGCATATAAATAAATATAGAGTGACGCCCTCCAGTTGACATATCTCAGAGTTGTGACTTTGCCAGCTGATGATAGACGTTGCAACTTTATTAGATGAAGATCACCAGTGTCAACGATACATAGTATTAGGAGAAAAAAGCTTTCCTTCAGCAAAAGCCAATTAAGACTGTAGATTTCGCGAGGTTTGTATCATATTTTATTTGTAAGACCATAATCGCGATCATCTTTCTCATTTGATACAATAGAAATAATTCGCAAGAAGACGAGAAAACGGTTAATTCGAACGGCACGGAAATAAACGCCAGGTAAACATATGTGTCCAAGATCATATTACATTCATCATATGACTGGATTCTCATACTTGCGGTCAAAGATCCTGGTAATGTGAACGCGATGAAAAGCCGTAAATTTCTGAATGTACTTCCCAACATCAATTGTGCTGTCGTGCGAGTGCGCGGATGAATAGACGATTGTGTGTCACGATACGTTTCCTGTTTTATATTTTCATATTTATGTGTAATGGACTTTCCACGAGGTGTCCGATACTTCTTGATAGGTCACACATTCTTTTATCGCGTTTACATTCTGCACATGTGAACTTGTTGGCGTGACCTTGCACAAACACAGTATTATTTTTTTAATCTCTGCATCTCTCCAGACTCTTCTATATCTATATAGTTTCCTCTCGATTCGTATCTTTTCTTTTTCAGAGAATGTGAGTATTACTTTCTGCCAAATTGCGGCAGCAAATGCATTCCGATACACTGCGAGCTCGCAAAAATGCCATGAAAAAATTGCACGTGAATCGTATTACATATTTATCGATGACGAAACATAAATCGATCGATTCTTGATATTTTACAAAAACGTTTGACAATAATGTTTTCGTTAACTGTGATATTAATCAATATTTCGGGTTTTACGTATAAAAATATCCAAGAGACACGTTTTGAAAAGAAAGAGAAACGAGTCGTCCGTATTCCAACAATCTTAAACAGACAGATAGCCTATCCACGGAGCAAGTTTGAGCACCACTGGCATAAATAACGCGTTATTCTTTCGAAAGTACTCGCAACCGGTGATGGGAGATCGTGCGATTTTTCCCTCCGTGGGAATCTTCGTGCGCGTGCGTAAGCTGATGTTACAATTTTACATACTCTGTTTCCACAAATGTTACTAGGTGCTGCATAGAGCGCCTCTACATGTGTATGTGTGATTCATATAATTAAAAAAAAATGGTTTACTTTAATATATGTTAATAATACATAGAAAGTTTATTAAGTGTTATATTTAATATTTACAGAAATTTTCTTCTCTCTTTACAATTTTTTTGACATTTCCTTTCCCTTACACACCTAATAATACCTTATATTTAAAAAATGTATACTATTGAGGATTCACAGTGTTTGCTTAATACGCGTGCGCGACTTTATTCCCACGATCTCCTATCACTGCACATCACTTTAGAAAGAGGCTATGATATGCATGTCTCCGCCATTTAATTCTTTTTTCTTTCTCTCTCTCTCTCTCCATCAGTCTTCCTAATTTCTTCTATTTTCACTTTTTCTTTTGACTTAGTTCTCATTGCCGATTTGTCATTTTAATATCTCCATTCACGATTCATTTTCTTATCCTCTTCTTTCTTTCCTCTTTCTCCCTCTCTCCTTCAGCCTTATCACCTTCTTTCTCTCTTTCTTTTATTTTTTTATCATTATCTTAATTTTTTTATTTTCGCATTATTCCTTTTTTATTCTTTATTCAAGGATTTTAATACATTGTTTATCCTCAAACATTCGTAGATCTTTGAGATATTCGTATATATATATTCCTATTTACCTTCTTTTTCATATAAACGAGAATTGAGAATGAAAATAACATAAGAATAATCAAACGCGCTCCTCCCCTCCTCACCCTGCTTCCTTTCTCTTTCTTATTCTTTTCCTCCATTTTTATCTTTTTCTTTCCCACATACACACACAGATATACACATATATACATACAGATATATACATTTTTCTCTCTTCCCGCCCCTCTCTTTTTCTCTTTCTCTTTCTGTCTGTCTGTTTCTGTTATAAACACGATTAGTAAGAATTTGGTTGGTGGAAGTGTTGGTGAGTAAGTCTCTTTGTTTGGTGTCTGTGATGTTGCAGCGGCTCCCAGCGGTGCTCAGCAGGATAGGGATTATATTGGCCAGCCCCTTGGTAAGATCCCACATTGTATTAAGGCGTGGTCACGACTTCACACGTATTTGTTTCTCGTATTGTGAGTTACAAAATGTTTTCCCCGTGTTTATTATTGAAATCATGAGGGGTACATAGAAAAAAGATGGAGTGAAAAAGTCATAATTTGAAAGAAAATTCTGGCACATATACATTTGTGTGTTTAATATTGTTGAGCAAAATCGATAAAAAAAAGAAGGAACAATACACGTGCAAGGTCCTAACCGCGCCCTAAAGACATACGAAACGCCAGATACACATATAAACACAGACACTCTCACTCTCGTTCTCATCCCGGGGATCGTACATTTTTTCTATTTCCTCTTCTATATCTATATTTGCAATGAGTACTGAGAAGCATGGAGGTAGAAATGCAAAAATTTCGTGCGAGGGAAAGATATTTATAAAATTGTATAATATTCACTTTCGTATTTGAGTAACGCGCATTTCACATTCAAAAGGAACATTTTTATTTTTGTAGTAATTCATGGAAAACGTGACTATAATATATATTTGAAATTTTGACAATATTCTGAAATTTGAAATTCTGATATTTATATTCGAATATACATTCGAATATAATATCATAGAGAAATAGGTCGTCCACTATCATAAGTAACAACGTTATTTTTAAAAAATGGAATTTTGCACATATATATATATATTTGTAAAAATGAAGCCTGAAAATGTTTATGCTTTCCTAATAACGAACAGGAGACGTTCGTTAAGGCAAGACACTTCCACACAAACTTATTTCTTGGTACTTTATTAGCATCGGACTGAAATTTTCCTTCCCTCGTACCACAGATCTCTTACCACATATTTCTATTACTTAGTCTTTATTATCTTTGTTTTCTTCTATTAATGTACGGTAAGTGCATGCTTTCTACGATGCAAGTGCACGTTACATGTAAATGCACAGAACAACGAAGAGAAGAGACTCACTTCCTTCGACTTGTACGAAAGCAGTCAATTTTCGCAACTTTATTATATTCTCAAACAAATTTCGAGCTGGAAAAATAGACATTCTACCAAGCATAATCTCTGACTTCGTTCAAGAAATAATTTAGTTTGATTCTATGATTTCAATAATAAATATTAATTTCTTGACTTAATAGAATCTTATGAGAGCAATTGCTGTGCATTTATAAAAAAAGAGAATAAGATTTCGTTGATTCGTTATATATATATATATATATATATTCCTCACTCCGTCTGCCCTCGTCTTCCTCGCATCTGGCCTGCGTTTTATATTGATAACGGAGAATCGTTAAAATGTACGTATTATGCATGAAATGCATGGAGGTGCATTATGTATGTGCATGTATGCATGTTACAATTTTATTCAATGTGTGTTAAAATTTCAATATTTTCGTTGCCTTCACGAGGATAACATCGTTGTTTATAATAAGAGCAAAATTTGTCCGATAATGAAAGAAGATACACTTAACTATTTTTTAATCACTTCGATAATCCAGTGTCGCTTTACACATGTTACATTTTTAATTTTATACACAGGGTACCTTGTTTTAATCGCCCCAGATAAATATCTTGAAAAATATGAAAGATATGAAAAAACGTGTCAAACAAAAGTTGTTTGATTTAAAGAGTGACATAAGACAGCGATATCATTTTGTTTACAGGTAGCGTCACTTTCGAGATATTTACTGATAACCACTTTTCTTAAATGGAAATCCATTTTTTATTTGTATAATATTTTAAATTTATTTATTGTATCATATTTTTCTACCAATTAATCTGAACAACTTTTGTCTGAAATATTTTTTTATTTGCTTAATATTTTTTCAGATATTTAAAGAAAATTAAGTAACTTTTCCAATATTTAGTTTATGATATCTCGGTAACTATTCATCGAAAAAAAAATCGTACTAGACTTTTTTGTTCTATTTAATCTCAAGAATATGCTATCACAATATTGCCCTAACTTTGTTAACTTGATGACCTTTGGAAATTTCAAAATCAAGTTAACAAAATTTAAGACACTATTGTAACAGCATATTTTTGAGACCAAACGGAATAAAAGTCTAGTACGATTTTTCCCAACAAATAATTATCGAAATATCATAAGCTATAATAAATATTGAAAAATTACCAAGTTTTCCTTGAATATTTAAAAAAATATTGGACAAATAAACAAACGTTTTAGACGAAAGTTATTCAAATTGGTAGAAAAGGATGATATAATAAAAATTTCTATTTAAGAAAAGTAACGATCAGTGAATATCTCGAAAATGGCGCTATTTGTAAACCAAATGATATCGCTGTTCTTATGTCTCCTTTTAAATTAAATAACTTCTGTCTGAAATGTTTTTCCATATCTTTAATATTTTTCGAGATATTTGCCTGGAGCAATTAAAATGAAATACATTGTATATAGAATGTTCCACGTAGAACGGTCAATCGCTCATGTACGAATAAAACAGGCTAAACTGAATAAGAAAGTCCACCATTTTTTATCATTTAAACAACTATGAAAATTTCGAGTTATTAGTAAAAGAAAATTAGCGAATCAGCATGTGCGATGTCGCGTGGGAAAGCACGGTCGTTTCTCAAATCATTCTCCGAAATGTATTAAAAGTACTGACAGTAGTATTCCGAAATTGTTTGCAGCGTACTGTAAAAGAGTAAAAATTACTATCTTTAAAAAAATATATATTCAAGGGAATTACTTTCCCTGACTTGCATCTGATTTTGCACATATCCCGGAAGTAGGACGAGTTCAGTAATATACAGAGTGAGATACCTAAAACGGGCTATCTGAATAACTTTGAAACATACAAGACAGAAAAAATATTAAATACAGAAGGTTTTGATACATCATGTAATAATAGTAGTCTGATCTTAAACAGCGTCATTAAAGTTACGGGAAAGTCACTTTGAATCTTTTAGATAGATACCCCCATTCTTTATCATCTTTTTCCGTCAATTAATTTAAACAACTCTTGTCTAAAATATTTTTTTACTTGCCTAATATTTCTTGAAATATTTGAGGAAAATTTGGTAACTTTTTCAATATTTACTTACGATATTTCAATAATTATTTATCGGAAGAAAGGAAGAAAAAATCACACTAGACCTTTTTATTCTATTTGGTCTCAAGAATATTTTTTTACAATAGTATTCTAACTTTTGTTAGTTTAATGATTATTGAAAATTTAAAAATCACCAAGTTAACTAAAGTTAATGCGCTATTATAACAATATATTCTTGAGTCCAAATAGAGCAAAAAAATCTAGTACTACTTTTTCTTTTGATGAATAGTTACTGAAATATCGTAAGCTAAATATTGAAAAAGTTACCAAATTTTCCTTACATATCTCAAAAAATCTTAGGTGAATAAAAAAATGTTTCAGACAAAAGTTATTTAGACTGATTGGTAGAAAAGGGTGATATAATAAAAAGTGGAAATTTCTATTTAAAAAATTCAAGATGATTTTCCTGTAACCTTAATAACGTTGTCCAAAATCATATTAGTATTGCTATGTGATGCATCACTTAAAACTTTACAACTTCTGTATTTAATATTTTTTTTCTATCTTGCATATTTTCAAAGTTATTCACCTGTTTTAAATGCCTCATCCTGTATATGGCAGCTGGCTGTTTTGTAGACCGCAAAACTTTTGCAATTTTTTGTTTTATTTCTAATTTGATTTTATAATTTTTAATAGAAAGTTAAATATATGTGTGTCTCTTGTCATTCTACACAGGAAAGAGTCATTATGTTCATTTCTTTTTCAATTATACAATGATGTAATTTATAATTTTAATCATTAATTAACTTAATTATTAATTTATCTAAAGAGTTTTTTATCTGAATCTTTCATCTGTAAAGATATAGCTACGGTATTCTCAGCAATTGTTTATGGTCTCTCTCTCTCTCTCTCTCTCTCTCTCTCTCTCTCTCTCTCTCTCTCTCGTTCTGTTATTAATTTAACAATATTTAAAATATCTGCTTCGTTATTTAAAAATAAATTTTTTGGCAATAGTTTCCAATAAAATTTGCAATATTTTATGTACCAATTACAAATTTTTCACAATTTTAATGTCACTTTTATATATCTTATTTTTTAAATAAGTTGTATCGTTCTTCTTGTTCTTGACTGTCATTACTGAATGTCGAATTATATCTGATTATTATTAATTATATTCATGTTATCTGTAACATTACTGTAAATACGTTACGATTTTTATAGCTACACAGTCTATTGATAATCTCGGAGCAACTGAAATATGTTTCAGCAAGAGTATTTTAAGTATTGTCAGTATTTTAAGTATATTTTAAGTATATTTCGAAAGATATGTGTATGTGACCTTAACGGCGATTAGCATCAGATAATAATAAAAGACAGCCAAAAGACGCGAACAGCGTGTAGACGTTTGTCGTAATATTCAATACTGATCGCTGCTAAGAAATTAACGCGCAATCAGCCGTTTTGAATGCGATCACGCCGTCCTATAGCATCGCACGCACTAATTTGCTTATTTTCTTTCACTCATAAACTGAAATTTTACGCAGTTGTTTAAAAAAGGAAAGAGAACTTTGCTTCAATTGAACCCGTTTTATCTGCATATGACAGCCACCTTACGCAAGACAACCTGTACAGAATGTCTGGCATCTTTTGGAAACGAAAAATTATGAAGATTAATAAGATCAAATTGAAAAGAAAAGTCAAGTAACATTTTGCAAAAATTGCAATAGTTATTAAGTTATTAATGATTGAAAATGACCACATTTAAAGACTCCTTTAATTGATAACTTGAAAAATTTGCGTATTTATTTGCAAAATGGTAAAGGATCTTTTTGTTCAGAATGACCTAACTTACAATTATATGACAGCTATTGTGCCTAGCGACAGGTTCAAGATTCCAAGTTCAAAGTTCAATATACTCATATCTATCGCTAGATAAAATAGCCGTTATATAATTGTAGGTTAGGTCATTCTGAACAAAAAAGTCCTTTA